GTCCGCTGTGCTGTCACAGCCGCCCAGCGGGGCGAACACGCCCTGGATGACCACAGAAGAGGGGGGGCTATGCAACCTTAAACACAACTCAATCAGCTCTCTGTGTGAGCTGCATTAAGGCAGAGCAAGACCATGCAGCTCCAAACGGAGCGAGGCTGGCCTGCAGCAGGTAAACGGCTCTCTGGTTACCTGTTTACCATGCAACCTGAATCTTAATGTGAAAACGCCCCAGAGTGAATAGCTCTGCTGTGGCTCTTTTCTTTCCCCTGGAAACAACAGGACTCATGGGAGGAAGCGTCTCAGCCAGAAAAGCTGCACTTAGAATATTGATACTGTTTACTCACAGAAAAAACAAACACATTTATATTAAAAGAAAAAACATTAATGTTCACAGTTAGATCATTTATGTAATAAAATAAAATAACTATTGATGTGTAACCAGGCAATTAAACAAATGCATACTCCTTTTCTTGGTGACTGACAACTTCCTGGTCATCTGGCCAACTTAATATTCAAACTCAATGACCCTTTCTTTACAGTTCACTGCCCCCATTCAGCTCACAAAGGCCCCAACGAGCGGAAAGTCACTGCCGACCCCAATAGGAGCCCAGCAGTCTCAGACCCTCAGTAGGCAAATTAGCAAATCAAAATGCCTCTGCATCTTAGCACTTGGGGATTATCTAATACGCACATTCTTGTGGGGCTTGAGTTGTGATCTCTCCTAACAGTGACTGCACTGTTATGTGGACACACAATGAGATCCCGGTCCTGAAAAAACTTTCACTGTGAGAAAACTGAAGAAAAACACATAGGACCTGACATGTGGATGATAGATGCTATGTTTGGTAGATATGCTGGTACTCAGAGTCAATGAAAGAGGAGAAAAACAATGGTGGTTCTCGTCAGTTCAAACATTTATAACCTACTTTGAGACAGATTTTTGAACAAAAACTGGTTTAAACAGAGTGCTAGTAAAACCATCTAACAAACCTTCCATTAAATAGATAAAGCTCAATAGGCATTCATTTTAGGGATGGTTTCTATTGTTCTCCAAATAACCTACATTAGAGATTTTTAATTTTTTTTTGCCATCACTGACTTTAAAAATCCAGCACAGAAAAAGGAATAATTCCAGGATTTCAACATAATTTTCCTTTGTGAGTCGTTTCTTCCTCGATTTCTTTCTCCTCCAAAGACTTACAAGTCATGTTTGAGTTTCGCAAATAGTCTTTATTCTTGCATAATTGTTTAACAAAGGGTGTTGATGCAACTGTGTGGCTGTCCCAGTCAAACATGAGCTGTGAGCAGGTACTTGTGAGAAATAAAAGTGAGCAAAATACCACGATTTCAGTGCATATGCACAATATGATCAAATTGCTTTTAGCTGAAATTAGCAATTATTCCCAAATCAGCCCAAGTTTAAGCATTTAATCATTATCTAACATGACCCTTGTAGAGGGAAACTAAGTATGTAAACTGATACAGAATAACAGCTCATAACATTGTCACTGGAGAGGCATTAGAGGGGCCAACAAAGCAGCCATTGTCAGCCATGTGTATTCACATAGTTTCTAATTGTTTCAACACAGAACGATGACTTACAGATCAGCGATAGCTTCAGGGCTTAAAGTGGGCTTAACTGATGGCTTTTTGCAACACTCAGGAAATCTGAGCCCCCTCCACTTCTAAAGAGATTGTTCAGGTCTCTGTTTTTGTTTTTTTACGGTTGTTTACAAAAGAAAAATGCAATATGCCTCTACAAGGGTTTGTAATAAGCTTCAACCATGTGAGGGGAGGCCATATGTTAACGCCTCACAAAGCAGGGCATCCAATTTGTTTGACTAGAATGAACTTAATTCAGTGATGAATGAGCCACGAAAACTTCCCAGCAGTCAGTGCTCCCTTTGTCGGATTGTTTGCACAGAAGAAGCAAAAGCATTGCAGCAGACGCAGCAGCTGCTCGTGGATACGGCAAAATAAAAAAAAACATGGTTGACATCTGGAAAAGAAACGAGAAACGGTTTAATGGCCAGAAAGTTCTCTCTGGTAGTGCAGTGTACAGCAGTTTGAAGAGCCCAGCATGAGACAAACTCATTTTCACTCTGGCATTTTCTTAATGGCGGAGAAATGATTCATACGTACTAAATAGGGACTTTGATGTTAATCATCTGAACCGAGCCTTCAGCTCTCTCTTTTTCATATAGAACTGTCCTCTAATCATTTCTAAACCCGCTTTCAGGACCAAGAAACCACAGGAGGGAGCAAACCTTTGCGAGTAGTTGGCTCCTTTATCTCTCTGCCAGATGGCTGGTAATAAAAAGACGGACAACAAGTTGTGAGGCGGTGCACAAAATAGCCAGGTAACCTTTGGTAAATAAAAGATAAGCCCTCCACAGAGAGTTGATTTTGCAGGTTTTCTTTCCTGATAGGAGCAGGGAAGGCAGCAGGTGCACTTTGCACATGCATACTGGGACTCTGCTGCATTTCCCACAGCACTAAGTATTACTGGTCTTCTAAGCCTTTTGATTGATGACAAAAGGGAATGAAGTTACTGCTGAGCATTCTCAGCTGCTTCACATAGAAACGGAAGAAAAAAAAAAGAAAAAGAAAGAACAGGCAAGAATAAAAGCACTTTATTGGAGGTTAATGCGTACCTGTATGCCAGTCTGGTTTGGTGTTTACTTCACGAGGAGTGTAAGCTAGTACTCTGTATATGCACTGCTAGTAAACCTGTAGATTTGATTCATCTATGGATGTTTTCACCTTTCTTTAAGATGACTTGTGAAAGTTAGGAGCAAGCTACTAAGTGGAACTGGTGTTAAAAGCCAACGATAAGTTTATGAAATATGATAACAAGATTTCCTCTAAGTTTAGACAGGACGTGATTTAACTGGAAGGTGTTAAAATAGGTCATGTTGCAAAACAGCAATTCATATACAAACACTGAGGAAGCAGGCAGTTAGGCATTAGATTAGTAGAAAGAGGTTAATAACCAAATAATGAAAGGACTATTACAGCTATAAAGTACTAAAAATGAATTACTATGAGGGGATTTGTTTTTAAGAGTAAAACGAAATCAAAGAGCTAAAAGAGATTTTAGTTTCTAAGGCTTTTTTGTTTCAGTTATAGTATATTTGGAAACACAAGTTTCCTTATTTTGCATGATTTTATATTTTAAAGGTTTCACAAAAATGTATGCCAATAAGAGTTTTTACATCTGTATTTTTTCTTTTAAACAAATCATGAAAAGATTTTGTCTTTTAACTAGATTCCCAGTTCGAGGCCCCCACTCTGTCCTTCTCATTGCATCATCATCAACCCCAGTTGGTGGTTAGAGTCGGCCCCAGGGCAGCTGTGGCTAATGTAGCTTACAACCATCAGCTTAGGGTAGACGATTACCTGAAGGTATTTCAACAAGTCTAGGCTATTTAGCATTTATTGCTATAAAGAAAAGAGCCCTAGGTCAATAACATTAGGTAAAGATTAAAAGGCTGATGTCAAATATGCAAAGAATTTATTTTTTTAAATTAAGAAACAAGTTTTGATTTATCTTTTCCTTTTTCATAAGCTTGGAACTAAAAGTGATCAAAGCTGAAAAAAAAAAATAAGTCAAAAGAAATACAGGATTCATTATGCATGAATGCTGAGCATATTTCATGAGATTCTGAATTCTACCTTTTGGATTTTTTAAAGAGGAGTAAAATCTAGAAAATTAATGAAAAATAAGGCGCAACTTTCTCCTTTATTGTTGCTTACCATAACTAAAGTGAGTGTATACATTTCCAGACTTGTCTGTAAAGCCAAAGGCACTTTGAAACACAGACTCTGGTGTATATGTACCACTTTTAGAAATTAACATCAACTTTAAGGCTTCACAACTCATTTTTTACATTTTATGTATAAACAACTGCTCATTAAAAACAATCCACATCACTCCCCAAATTATGTATTTTGGTAAATCTGCAACACAGATTAGCTTAAATACACACCCAACTTCTACAGCTGCACACCCAGTTTTCCCCTTTCCGACTGACACATTATTCTGGCCTAACAATGAAAGCCTGGCTAGTAGCTGCCCAGGCTTGCCAATATGTCCAGTGACACATACACCTGCCTCTAACACACCCTGAATCAGGAAGTTTAATATGGAGATCCGGTGGATTGAGTCAAAGGATAAAACAGTCTATAAATTCATGCTGTAGAGGTGAAGAGGGTTTATCTCTGAAAAGGGAGGAGCAGGGAGGGGAGGGGAGGGAGGGAGGAGGACCTCCCTGCAGCAAATAAAGACATGCTGCAAAAGAAGGGAGAAGCAGCACTTCGACTTTGCACACAGATTCTGTTTATAGGTGAGAGCAGATCTTCCTGCTGAAGCTTGGCACCAAATAAAGATTTCAAACCAGAGAAAACAAAACAAGGACATGAGATCTGCAGTGCGCAGCCGATCAAACCCCCCTCACGATGGGACCACAACCCAACCAATCGGCTTCATGTTGCAAAACATAAACATTTTATAACAGAAGAATAGGTTGCAAATAGAATAATAACCATTTATGTTTTTTAATAAGCTGATTAAATTGAGCTGCAGTTACTAAATATCATTTATCAGCTGCAGAGGGTTTTATTCTTCAATGAGAGGAGAATTACGCGACTATATAAAATAGATGCAAATGACAGAAGGATAAAGCTTCTACTTTTTATTATATCTGATCAAATTAAAGATTGGATGTTATAAACTGATTATAAGCGCTATTATTTTGGGTTTACTATCGAGGGATGCACTTGCCACCGGGGCCACATCCATCCGCTGCGGTTGGTCCCTGAACCCACCATCTCTGAACAGGTTAGCGGACGGGCATCCGTCACCTCCTCCCGTTCACCTTCATGCCTCCCGAACACATCCAGGAGGGTCCGGGGAGCCCCCGGCCTCCGGTCCAAAGCGTGTCAGACGCTCACACAAACACAGAGACGCAACGAGATCAGATAAATCCCTGCTTAGTTACCTTTAGCTGCCTCCACCGCAAATAATAGTCCGAGGAGCAGTCCGACTGCGGATGCAAATGGTTTATTCCCTCGGAACCGCATCCTGACTTTGAGTTCAGCCGCGGGGAAGTCAAACACAGCCTTCTTCGGTCCTCGTCAGTCAGGTGGAGCGTTTCTACGGAACAATAAAAAATAAAATCCAGGAGATGTGTGTCGGTTACTAAGGCAGCTCTAAAATGGCCGTCGTCGCTCGCGCCGCTCTGCTCTCTCCTCAATCACTGCTTCTATCGCAGTTTTCTGCCGACTGCCTTCACGGACTGTCGGAAATCGGAAACACTAATTAGCACAGTTTACGTTCTTATCACCGAGTTACCAAGGTTTTTTTGAAAGTGAAACACCGCAATTTTAAACATGTTGATATGTCATTTTTTTTTGTAAAGATTATAAATGAGAAATACATTCTAAAATTATATTCCTTGAAGCATAGGTTATATGTATTTGCTAAAAAAAAAAATCAGCAAATGCTTTTTTTTTTACCTACGCCTGAAAGGCTGAATCACGACAACCTTTGGATATCACTTAATAGAAATAAAGGGAATAATATATTTTCTTCAGAAACAGGAAATAGAACATGCACCACTATCTGTCGTTAAATAAAAACAAAAACAAAAAACACTCATCTTCCTATTATTTAACTTGGAAACAAAAATGGAATTATGTACTAATCTCAGACATAATAAATATTTGCTCACTAAAATGTTTTTTTTTTCTTCTTTTTATCATTTTCTAGTGCTGCACCTTGCAAAACAATGTTTATACCCGCTATTTTTGAAGAACTGTTATAATTTGGTTATCTAAGATCATTGTTATAGTTTTTTGTTGGCTTATTTGGAGTGTCACTAGTCTTTTTAAGGTTGCATCATAGTGGATTTAAGTACAGACTTAAGGTAGGCCACCTTAAAGAAATACCTTTTAGGGAAAGCCTTAGGAAATGTAATTTTGTTTTAATTTTATTATTTTGTGGCACATGAGTCCTTTACTTCAAAGTAAAAGACAGGATGAGAAAGCATGTACTGAAGTTCTCCAGGTCAGGATTCAAACCTGGGGCAGCTGTGTCTAGGACTAAGGACCAAATATAAAGGTCTCATTCCCTACCACTGCCACACTCTCATCCTTAGGGAATTTCTAGAACAGATTTCATGGTTCCTCTGCCAGTTATCCAGGCCCCAAAGCTTTTCAAGACTGTCACACTACCATTGCCATGTCTTGTAATATTTTAACAAGGGCTGCATGGTGGTGCACTTTATTGCAGTGTTGCCTTGCAGCAAGAAGGTCGTGGGTTCTAGGGTCTTTCTGCACCCTGTTTGCATATTCTCCCTGTGCATGTGCAGGTTGTCTGCAGATATACTATGGTTTCCTTCCACATAACTGAACAGCAACTGTTAATTATCTTGGTGGATGTTTGTCCTGAAATGGATGGCTGACCTGTCCAGGTTATAAAGTGCCCTAGACTGCTGGGATGGATGGATGGATGGATGGATGGTTTTAAACCACTCGTATATCTTTGGTATTTTTAAAATCTTGTGGAAAGGAGTGACATCTCAAATTAAAGGAAAAGGTTGAGTCTCTTTCCCCAAAGAATGGGAGTTGTCAATATTGTCTATTTTTCCGATATATGCTATTAAGCTGACACCACTTATTAAAATGTAAATATGAGCAAGAGTTTCACATAGCTGTGAGAAGTCATGTTTTTTTAAATAAACTATTTGGTTTAATAAATAAATACTGCATCTGGTAATATTGCAAAACAGTCTTCTAATTTTTACTTAACAAACCGTGTTAGCATAGGAAATGTAAAATGAAACGTAATACAATCAGAAGAAATATCTAGAACAAGAATTCACTGAGAATTTTATCTGACAATAAAATAGGGAAAATGAAACACTCAGTGGATGTGATAAACAGCAAGGGAAAGACAACAGAAAGTCAAACATTTTCATGTTGAAGTGAGACATATGCTTAAAAATTTGAAATACAAATATGTTTGAAATTGTGTGCATGGTTTATGGGACCATGGTTTCTATTGGATGTCAAATATGAATGAGATGTAATAATTAATCTATATGATTCACAATTAGTCCCTAAAATTAGTGTTCAGCTCTGCTGGGTTCTGTTCACTTTTCTTTTAATCTTCAAAACAAATCTACAGAAATGAGTCCCTATATCTGATCAAATAGTTTATTGGTAATTACCAACCTTTAAAAGTAATTTCATCTAATTATTTGATATCAACTGAAAATCTGAGGAGTTGGTCATGCATTTTTACTCCAAACTATTTAAATACAACACCTGAATGCATTAGTTTTTTTTAAAGATCTTTTACCAGAAAAAAAAATTAAACAGTCACTCTTGCAAACTATTTTTAATAGTCAAAATGAAGGAATGCTCCCAAGCATGCTTTACCTCTTTTTCGCCTTAGTGACTGAGAAAGCTGCCAGCTGTCATTTTACTGCCTAAGTGATATAGTGTTCAACGATTTAACATGCAGTTAAACCTTTAGAGCACAGCTGCTGTGAGTAAGTCTCCCCTTGTTTGTGTGGATTAGAGAAGTCTTCTTGTCTTTTATTTATCACATAGAGACTGGTTATTTATACATAAACTCAAGCATTATATTGAACTATAGGATTTAAAATAAACAAACGTTTAATCAGGATGCATCACTTCAGAGCAACACTCATTAGATGCTGTTGGTGTATAAACTGATAACTTCCTGGGTTTTGTAAACAAAGCAAAAGGAGGCGTTATACTTTCTGTTACAAGTTTTAGAATATTCAAGTTTTCAGACTGAATCTATATCAATGACTCTCATCCAGTTTTTTGTAAACATATCAGATAAAATAGGAAAAAGTTAGAGTAGAAATCTTTGTATTTCGGCCAAAGTCTGGGGGTTGATAAATATATGCAAATTTGTCCATTTACCGTGGCTAAACGAAATGTTCAGTCAACTTATACGTAGATGTGTGTTTCACAGAAGATTGTTTTAATGTTTTTCTTCTTTTCCACCTTTTGATTATAGAGTGGATTTATCTCTACAGATATTCCCAGAAAAAAAGCCCTATATTCGTTAATAAAGTGGTGGCCCAAATTACAAGCTTAAACCTTGAGCCTGAATGCATCACAAGTCTGATGGGTGGTCAGTGACGTCAGTGCTGTTATTGTGGGAATCTGCAGCCACTTTAGCACAGACGGCTAAACTGGGACCAAGGGTTGGGGCCAAACACCTCCTCCAACACATGAATGCTGTGATCATCGTACTGCAAAGTGCCTGGGTGGATTAAACAGCATTCCACAGTGGACACTCAGGCTCAGGCTCGACTGCATTTTAAATCAGATTAAGCAGTGCTTTCTGATATTCGGATTGTGACTGGGAGATTTAGCATACAATCAAATAAAAAATAACTTTCCTTGACACATTAATGTTTTAGATAAAGAAACAAATGTACTCATCAGGCCAAACATAATGGCTGATGAGTACCTGGCCCAATCTGAGATCATGGATTTACTTGATTCATTTAATAAGTCCAACTAATACCTTTTGTATATTCAATGCTTAGCACACTAATGCTTAATAACAACCAGAGCTGTGCAATAAAATTACTTAAGTATAACTTGTATAACCTGAAACATGCTAAAGGATCTCAAGAATCACTACACAGAGCCCAAATTTAAAGAAACCCAAGAACATATCAGAGACAAAGTTATTTGCTACTTTCAGTGTGGTGTTAAAACACTACATTAAAACATTACATTTGTGGAAAAAAGTGCTCAAAATGAGGGAAATGATCTGTCCCTACAGCAAGATAAATCTATTTGACAAGATTTCTTAAAATAAGATCACACTGTAAAGCTGGACACCTGAAATATGATTTAAACTCTTAAAACCAGATAAATTGTTGAATACTTCTAAATCAAACTTTTTGCTCTTTATTATCTTGATAATAACCAAATGTTTTGCAGTTTGAATGTTTCACAAAAGCCAACTCTAAGATTTTGGAATCTCAGCAAATTGTACAGTGACACATGATTCAAAAATAGAGAAAAATTATACAGCAATGAGCAACGCGATAGGTACTGACCTGTCAAGATTCAGAACAGAAGCACCCAGAATTCAGGCAAGACAGACAGTGGGATTACTCAAATAGCGTTATCTAAAAATAAAAAATAAAAAGCTGTGAGAACAGCTGCTAGGACATCTGCTGCAGGAAATTCTGGAGAAAAGAAAACACAGGTTACTCAGCACGATAATCTAACAGAGGAAGATTATGAACATGGTTCACTAACTTAGTTTAAAAGTTAAGTCCATGCCCAGAGAACGAGGTTATATCCACCCAGTGGGTTGCCAACAAGATGCGGCGGGAGCCACCCAGATTGTCCCAGAATATGCTGGAGACCGAAGCCAGGTCGGGCAAACAGATCAGAACAGGAACAGGCAGGCTCAGAGACCGAGAAGACCAGGACAGTTCAGGCAAAACGTTCAGACCGGAACAGGCAGGCTCAGTGGTTGAGAGGCAGAACAGGTCAGGATCAGGTGACCAGAAACACTAATGGGCCTTTCAGACAGGCTGCGACGACTCAAACGACTCAAACTGCTCCATACTGAGCCGAAAGTAGACCTGGAACCGGTCGCTGTGAAAACGGAGCTCTTTCACAAGCCGGAACTCCCCAAGCTGCTCTCTGGACCTGAGGGTTTCGTGCACCCACAGCCTCTTCTTCCTTGCGGCTCTTTTTCTTCGAACTAGCAGGGCTAGCGCTAGCGCTTGCTTCTTAGCACGGGTCAGATACATATTTGCTGCTGACCAAAAGCTGGAACAACAAACAAATGACTAGACCCGGCAACCCAGCCGGCGCAGCGCAAATGCGCTGAACCCCACGGCCAGCGCAGCGCAAATCGCTTCCTATCTGAAAGGCCCATAAGGAACTCTAAAAACACCCTGACCACTGACTAGAGAGAACAAGATAATCTGGCCCTGATGACTGGATGCAAAGGAGGCAGGAGCAGGTGGATCAGATGAGCAGCGATAATAAACCATGCAGAGTTAGACAGGTAAATGGAATGAGTCATTAAGCCAATAATCAGTGCCAAGATCATGACACTGACCTACAGAAATCTTCCCTAAAGTCTAACAACTAGTTCAGGGGGTCACAAAAACAGAACATTATTTAAAGCTTACCTATCTCAGTTAAGGGCCATTAACATGATTCAACA